TGTGTACTTAAAAAAAAAAAAAAACAAAAACTTCTCTTTGTTAAAGCCATCCACTTGTGGTATTCCTGTTAGAGCAACACTAGATGACTGAGGCAGTCAGCTCTGGAGGAAGGTCCTTGTCATCAGTCTTCCCCTGGACTAAGAGCTTCTCAGTGCAGGGACTCATGGTCCAAAGGATGCACTCTTCTCCTGGCTCTTGTTTCTTGGTGGTATGAGCTCCCTGTCTCTCTGCTCCCTTCTCTCTTTTATATCTCAAAAGTGATTGGCTTAAGACACAATCTAGTCTTGTAGATTGAGTCTTCCTCATTAACATAACTGCCAATAATCCCATCTCATGAACATCATAGAGATAGGATTTACAACACATAGGAAAATCACATGACAAAATGGTGGACAATCACACAATACTGGGAATCATGGCCTAGCCAAATTGTTACACATACTTTCGGGGAACACAATTTAGTCCATGACAGTGTTATTTACTGAATGCCAGGCATGTTGGTAAGATTTTTATGTAAATTAGTTCATTTAATTTCCTCAGTATTTCCATGAAATAGAAAAAAGAAAATGATGGAATGTGTAATAGCTAAGAGGTAATGACACTAATGGGATTACGGAATTCTGACTTCCAAATTCTCTCCTCCTAATGAGAGCCCATGGTGAAAGAAACATAACACTTTAGGTTCTCTAAATAACCTTTTGTTATTTGGTTAAGTGACCATCTGTTACGGAATAAATTGTGTCCCAAAAAAATATGTGTTGTAAATCCTAACCTCTGTGCCTGTGATTATAATCTAATTTGGGAATGGGTTGTCTTTGTTATGTTCATGAGACAGGATTAGTGTAGGGTGTGTCTTGAGTAATCTCTTTTAAGATATAAAAGAGATTAAACAAGCAAGTGTGCAGAGGAGAGATGAGGTAGGATAGATGCCAAGGACACTGAGATCTCCAAAGAACCAAGTAGCAGAAGCTGAAGAGACGTGGACCTTTCTCCAGATCCGACCCAGAGAGAAAGCCTTCCCCTAGAGCCAGCACTTTGTATTTGGACTTCTAGCCTCCTAAACTTTGAGAAAATAATTTTGTTTGTTAAAGCCATCCACTTGTGGTATTTCTGTTGTAGCAGCACTACATAACTAAGACATTGTCTCTTTGCCAAACTTTGTAATCCTCAGAATAAAATTATTACTTCAGTTTATTTTTCTCCATGTTTGCATTCTAATGGATAGAGTAGAAATTTATAATTGTCACAATGTTAAGAAAAGAAGAAATAAAGGAAAGAAGGAAGGAAGGAAGGGAGGGAGGTAGGAAGGCAGAAAAGGAGGGAGGGAGATATGGAAGAAAGGAAGGAGAAAGAAGAGAGGAGAGAAAGAAAGGAGCAAAAGAAGGAAAATAGAAAGAAGTTATAATCCTTTCTGCTCATAATTGCTCACCAAAAAAGGGTAGCTTTGCTTAGGGAAGAACAAGATGATTGAGTTTCTCTTGTGATGATCCTACAATACATTATTTATATTGCATTGCATTGCATTGTATTGTATTGTGTTTTGTGTTGTAGTGCACTGCATAGTTTTTTTACTTGTAGCCGAATTTGAAAATATAAAATTAGCTTTCTCTGTTACCCAGTGAGTTAACTGTATTCTATGATGATATTTAAAAATTTAGACTTAATAATAAAAAGGTACTCCAGGATTAACGAAAATCCTAGGTTAAACAATATAAAATTTATGGTACTACACCAGTTTTTCCTACAAAATTGTGAATTTCTTATGGTTGAAACTAAGGAAGATAAAGGCCATAAAGTCAATTATTGATGGTGAAGACTACAAGCAATGGAAACTTTTTCTCTATTTGATCGTAAAACATCCACGTTAAGGTTTCCTTGCTTCTGGGTATTATATTAACATAGGCTCTCAGTTGGTGGCCTTCATTCATTCTGAAATCACCAACCAAAAGTCCCAAAAGTCGTATTTCAGTTTAGGTATTTGAGACAAAATGTATGTATTGGTAGCTGTGCTATGGTTTTGATCCTGGTACCTTCAAAAATCTCCTAAAGAGTAAATTCTATGAAAATACAAATTTCTTTAAATGGAGATTTTTACTGGAACATTGAGAATTTCACTGGAACAGCTATTGTCTTTTTTTTCTATTGGCAGTAAAGATAATAGGGATGGACCCACAAAGGCCTCAGGGCAACAGGCACGAAACACTTTCCAAAACTACTTTAAAATGTAAACTACTTAAAAGCTTAAGAAAGAATTATAATGGAAACTTTTTAAATAAAATGAATTAAAACAAATTAACTTGCAAATTCTAGTTATCAGCTAGAATTATAAAAATCAAGAAGAGCTGGAAATGAAGGTATAAGTTAATATGTTAAATGTTTTAATTTGTTGGCATCTAGGAAATTTTAATTAGAGTAACATTCTTTAATAGTAAAGAATGTTTGTTTATTATTAAATATAAAAAATAAATGAAAAAGTTTGATTTTGAAAAAGTAGTATCTAGATAAATACATCTAATGACAAGCATTTTAGGCATTTGTTTTTATATGTTAACAGCATAATAATTACACATATACATATAGGGCTGTGATACAAAGTATTCCATAAGAAAAGTGAGGTTTTTGTTTTTCAAAGAGAAATTGCAAGAAAAATCACTTGTAACCACAATAGTATATATTCGTTCTTCACAGGTGACCTGAAAGGATTCTATTTAGTGCCATTCAAGATCTACTAAGCATCATTTTTGCATGACTACTGCATAAGGATTACTTTACAGAAACCAGTTTCTTTTGGAAGAACATACTTGGACGCTATTTTCAGAAAGCAGGTACAGTGGACCTTTTATTTAATTGCCTTTCAAATTGAAAGAAATATTGAAAGCAAAACACACACGTAAACCAAAACAAAAAGCAACCTGTATGTGTCATTTATGGAGCTCCTCATACAGTACTTTAAAGTTAAATTGTTATATACTCAAATGAACAATGTGCGTGTGCTCTCTCTACAAATGATGTATTAACATCTTTTTTTCATCTTTGCTCTTAACCTCTGAATCACAGCAGCATTTTAACAAATCAAACGCTATTATTATCCTGCTACTTCTGAGATACCTGTGATTACTAGATATAAATTTAATCTAGGCACTTTAATTGAATTCTGCAATGTTGAAAACAGTTTATTTATGATGCTTGTGATATTCAGAGAAAGACAACTGAATACAGCATACCAGTTGTAGGTAAGAGGGTTTTGGATCTATTGCTCATTTCCAGATGGATGAAAGGATATGCAGTTTAAATTTGTGGTAATGTATCAGCAGATGGAAATAGAATGGGGTAAATGTCTTTGCCATCTGTGAACCTAGTGCATTCTGTCAGTAACCAGCTGAATGTAATAAATCCATGTAGTTCAACAAAACTCTAATTAATTTTTGCGAAGAGATTTCTTGTCATCTGTTAATAAATCCAGGTTTTAGGTTGAGGATATTCAACTTATTTAGCTGTACAGGGGAACTATGGAACCCAGCTTGGCAGAGTAGAGTTCACTCTTGTTATGTCACTCTTGTTATTGTTCTGTCCAACTAATTGCAATGCATATTGGTAGAATAGGAAGCAATTGAAACAAATGAGACAGAGCACTCCAAAAAAGACGTAAGTGAATTAGAATTGATGAATCTGATGAGAATGAATTCACAGTGTCACTTTAAATAAAGCTCCATTTCGTTCATGCATTTATTTGCACCTAATCTGTCAGTACAACTACTAAAAACATTCAGGGGAGACACTGACAGTTTCATCTTGACACAATCAGCTAAATTTCTGCCATAATAAGAGGCAACATATATTAAAAGGGGTCCTGAGTTCAGCCTCTGAGAATGAAATGTTTCGCTCAATAACTTGCTCAACTCTCTCTAGTAGGCATTGGCTCACTTCCAACAGAAAGAGCTTCATTCCATTAGAGAGGAGTCTCAATGGCTCTATGTTCATAGATTTTCAGTGTTGGTGGAATTCTCATCATCTAATGAAAGAAAAGCTCTAGTCCTTAGTATCAGTACCTGCAACTAGAGAGTCCCATAGCTGATAAAAATAATGTGAAATATTTTCCCAATATTAAAAAAAAAGGAAATTCTATTATTTTATTCTGAGTAGTCTTGAAAATTGCCTAGAAATTTGAAAAACCATTTCTTATACATTAGTTGCTACATATCTATTGTGTATGTTAACAGCACTGCTGTTTGTTATATTTATAGTGTGGTATCCAAAATTGAAAACTTACAGTAATGGGGGAAGTTCCATAGAGAAAATTTTGGCTGAATATTAGAAAGAACTTTCTAACTATGGCAGTGACCAAAATTGTCCTTCGGGGTAGTGTGTCCAGAAAAATGGGAACATGCGTGATTTCTAATAGTCAGGAAGGAAGAAGCTATTCCTTCCAAAATTATTATTCAATAGAAATGTCTCCATTCATTTTGAGATGTTTGTTATAAATATCTGAACTTCTATCAGTTATAAAAATTAGATATTTTATTTCAATTATATTTGTAGCCCTTTGTCTTTTAGAAGATGTTGTGTTTTGTAATATTTTACAGCAAAACGTATCATATAAGGTATACAAAAATAACAAATTTAACATCTAAAACAGAACGACTTCAATAGTGATTTATTGGGTGGTATGAAATGTATAAACTGAAGTTGCATGAATTTCTTAAGCAGCGTTTATCTCTCTATCAGCCAGTTGTGAAGATGGGGTGGGGGAGTGAGTTATGGTCCAAATCTGCTACTGATAGTTTATTCTCAATATCGGCCTATTCATAGAAGACACTTTTGTGGATTAAGATTTCTCAGGTTGAGGTTCCTAAGGATATGAAAGAGAACTTGGTTTTCTCAAGGAAAGAAGGAGGGAAAAATATGGCAGCATGGAAGACATGCCTCGTAGTGCATGCTGTTGTTTTTGTTAGTTGCCATTGAGTCAGCTCTGACTCACGGTGACCTTATGTGTAACAGAATAAAATGTTGCCCCGTCCTGCGCCATCTTCGTGATCATTGATATGTTTAAGTCCATTGTGCTAATATAATGCAAGGTGTTGTAGAGGAAGAACATCACAAATTTGAGTAAAGCAAAAAGAAAGTTTTATTTGGCATATATTCAAAAGGGCAGAAGTGGTAAGTGGACAAGCATGCTGCTAGAGCCATGTCTGCCCAAGTCCAAGGAAATATCACAGAACAGACAAAAGTGGGAAAACGGACAAGCATGCTGCCACAGCCATGTCTGCCCCGAGTCCAAAGAATATTACAGAATAGGCAAGAATGGGAAAACAGACAAGCATGCTGCCACAGCCATGTCTGCCCGAGTCCAAAGAATATTACAGAATAGGCAAGAATGGGAAAACAGACAAGCATGCTGCCACAGCCATGTCTGCCCAAAGTCCAAAGAGCAGTTACAGAGCCATCAGTATATATTAACATTACAAATGGGCAAAACCATTGAAAGCTTAGCCTTTTCAGATTGGATAGAAACTGTGATCCTACATTTTGAATTGTCTTTCTTAACAATCATTGGTACAGGTTTCAGTAACGACAGTCAAGAGGGTCTTCACTGGTCCAACAAATTTCTATTCACTAAATGCTAATAGAAGAAGAGTGGAAAGTCTTTTGTGTTCTGTTTGATTGGCTTTATTTGAAAGTTTCCCTAAAAAATATTTTCCAAGAGTATCTTAGCTATTGTCTTTATACCTCAGGGCCCAGTTGATGTGTCCTTGTGAGTCCTTGTGAGCTCAGATCTAGCTGGGTCATATTCTTTATGCTCAAGGAGAGGGACTAATAACTCCAATATTGTTTCTAAATCAAAGGTATTCACAAGTTGTAAACATTCAAACACTGTACTTAATTTGAATGTATGCAGAATATTTCATATATGAGGTTTGTACAGTAAATAGTAACTCTTTTTGAACATGTCTATTCTGGAAAGAATATGCTTTCCTATACTTTTAAATGCTAAAGAAGACTACCCATGGGAGAAAAATAGAAAATTATTTTTATGGAGTAATTTTGTAGAATAAAGTTTCTGTTCAATCATACTACATGCAAGTAATGGAAGCTCTTAACCTGAATGCTCCGCCACCTGAAGGTCTTGAGTCTATCCTACATTATATGAGGAGCTCTGTCTGTAAAGGTAGATGGGTCTGAAATTCAGTGAATCTTTCTATACTAAGTCTAGTATCCAAGATGAATCCCAGACAGACAAATGATTAACAAGGTAAAGACTTTTTTCTAAAAACTGTCATATTTGCTAAGTGTATTGAAGATATCCTGACAAATGGAAAGATTGCGTAGTTTGGAATAAAGTAGACCTTGGATTAAATCTCTGTTCTAATATTTGCTAGCTGTGGAAATGAGCTATTACCTTGACTTTTATGAACTTCAGTGTTCTCTCAACTATAAAAGTGAATAATATCTCCTTTTGTAAGTAAGAAGTTGAGATAAAATATGTATTTATATACACATGCACACACATTTCGAGTTTGGTATATGGAAGGTTTTTAACAAATGGTTACTATTGTGGTAGAATGACTACCATATGATTTTACCACTGAGTAGAACAAAACTTTACTGAGAGTCTGATAAAGTTTTAAAAAAAGGAGAAGAAAGAGGATGAGGGAAGAAAGAAGACATGAAGAAAGGGAAATAAAGAGGGAAAGAAAGAAGGAATGAGAAAAGTAAGAAAGGAAGGCGGGAAGGAAGGAAGGAAGCAGGGAGGGAGGGAAGAAAGGGAGGGAGGGAGGGAAAGAGAAAGAGAAAAAAAGTGACCTCCTTTTCTGAGATTAACAACGCTTGCTTCCTGGGGCTTTCTGGATATTAGACTAACAGAAAAGTCAATCCATTCTTATGTATTTGCCATAAATTATTAGGAAATAGAATATGAAAAAGAAAAAAAAAGCTCACATTCCTAATCAAAACAAAGATTGTATAATACTGTGCTGGGTTTTGTGTTCCAACGTAGTGGTATTTCATCATTCCTGTGCTCCCATATATTAGAGGGCATCTTGGCTTAATACTGCGTTTCCCAGAACACCTGCCAGGAGGATCCTGGTTTGGTGTCACCCACTGAGAGACACATGAAATACCGAAGCATAAGAGAAACAGAAATCCTAGCATTGTCCTTCGAGCTATAGTGGCCCCAGATGTTTTTCTTAGAATCAAATGCCTCAGTGCTGGAAGCCATGATCACTGCTGGCAGTTAGTTACAATTCTTGGCAATTTCCTAACTCTGAGGGCTAGCAGTTTATCTAAGATTTAGTAGTGTTCTTTCCTGACATTTGTTCCTCAGTCCTTTTAACAGTTTTTTAAGTACATAATATTGAAATTCCTTTCTTCTTGAAATACTTTGGGTTTTATTTTTTATTTTTCTAGCCTAACCCTGGCAGGTAAAGAAAATGTGTATGTGTATTTGTGTATGTGTAAAATAAATATATGCAAAAACCTAAGGAAGTGTATTAAAGAACCGAATAGACACAGATACACTATATTCACAGCTGGGACAACTCAATTAAAAAAAGCTGTTAATCCTTCCTCAGTTTTGGTGTTACTGTACAAATTTAGTCTAACATAATTAAGATAATATATTGGTGGGGCAGAGGTAGACCCCTGAGGTAGACCTCTGGAATAAGATAAAGAATATAGAATACATTTATGTCTCAATGAAAACTTGATATTTGGGTGATGTGATATTGCATATCAGTGGAAGAAGAATGGACTAGCCCATAAACTGAGATAGTAAAATCGATTACCCGTAAGAAAAGTAAATAATTAAAAATTAGACCCCTCAACATGC